GCAAGACGCTCCAGTCTGTCCGGACGACATACGGAAACGAATCAGGCGACGGGAAACTCTGAAATTCCGTCGCCTGATTCGTATTCATTCCGGAAATCTGACAATCCGGAAATTTCGCCGGGCGGCAGTCAGGCCTATGCTCCCGGACGCACTTCGTTCGTCAGTCTCCGCCCGTCCGAGAAATCGCGGACATTTTGCAGGGTCGTATGCGCAATGTTATCCAGCGCCTCACGGGTGAAAAATCCCTGGTGCGAGGTCACGATCACATTGTTGAACGACAACAGGCGCGCCAGCATATCGTCGCCCATGATCCGGTCGGAAGTATCCTCGTAAAAGTAAGCCGCTTCCTCCTCGTAAACGTCGAGACCGGCCGAACCGATCTTTTTCTTTTTCAGCCCCTCGATCAAAGCCTCCGTATGGATCAGTTGTCCCCGCCCCGTATTAATGAGCATCATCCCTTCTTTCATCTGATCGATGGCTTTTTCATTGATCATATACCGGGTCTGCTCGGTCAGGGGACAATGCAGCGAAATGATGTCCGATTGCCGGAACAACTGTTCGAGCGGCACGTACTCCACTCCTTCGTTCGCCGCGAACTCCGGTCGGGATAAAGGTCGTACGCCAGTATATTCAACCCGAAACCCTTTAATATGCGGATCAACACCTTCGCTATTTGGCCCGTTCCAACGATTCCGGCCGTTTTTCCGTGCATATCGAACCCCAACAGGCCGTGCAATGAGAAATTACCGTCGCGCGTACGCCAGTAGGCGCGGTGGATCTTGCGGTTGAGCGCCAGCATCAACGCTACGGCATATTCGGCCACGGCATAAGGCGAATAGGCCGGCACGCGCACCACCGGAATGCGGTGCCTTGCCGCGGCATTCAAATCCACGTTGTTGAAACCCGCGCAACGCAATGCGATCAGCTTCACTCCCATGGCGGCAAGCCGGTCGATGGTTTCGGCATCAGCCGTATCGTTCACGAAAATACACACGACGTCGGTATCCTGCGCCAGAGCCACATTATGAGATTCAAATGGCTCCGGTGGTAGTTGAACTCGAATCCGAAGGCGGCATTGGCCCGGTCGAACGAATCCCGGTCGTAAGGCTGTGTTCCGAAAAATGTTATTTTCATTTGTATTTTTTTAATGTATCGGTTTTGACAAAACAGTCGTTCTACTTTTCACGGTTATGGTGAATCATAACAAATATCATGAAAATCTTCCGCGCAGCGCTTTAAATTTAACCGCATTTTCCACAATACCGCAGAATTACCCCATGTATCCAACGGCTGAAAGCCGACGGAGCAGATTCGAAATATAAACCGGCTGGTAAAACGGTCTATCCGTCACGGTCTGCCGTCGGCTTTATCAGTAAAACCGTGAAAAGCGGAGACGATCTTACCGCCCCTTGCGTCGAATGATTTCGGCCGGCATGTCTTTTTGAAAAAACGGGCCGCAAAAAACAAAATATCAAACGTTTCGACCGTTTTTTAGTATTTTGTTTATTTTTTGGCAGGAAATATGGTGAAATTGCCGGGAAGAGGGTTACTTTTGTATTCATTTTGAAAAGACCGGAACCGGCGAAAGACGCATCCCGAAGCGGACGGGTCCGCAACCGGATTCGAAAAACAGTCATAAAACGATAAAACCGATGAAATATCCCGAATCAGTAAATATCCTTTTATTGGGCTCAGGGGGCCGTGAACATGCCTTTGCATGGAAAATCGCTCAAAGCAAGCGGCTGGCGCGGCTGTATATCGCTCCGGGGAACGCAGGCACCGCCGTATGCGGGACGAACGTGGACATCAATCCGGTCAATTTCGCGGCCGTCAAACAGTTCGTGCTGTCGAACAACATCAACATGGTCGTCGTCGGCCCGGAAGAACCGCTGGTAAAAGGGATTTACGATTTTTCAAGGAAGACCATCAGATCAGCAACATCCCCGTGATCGGCCCGTCGACGGTCGGGGCGCGGCTCGAAGGGAGTAAGGATTTCGCCAAGGATTTCATGATCCGCCACCGTATTCCGACGGCCGCCTACCGTAGTTTCACAAAGAAAAACGCCGACGAAGCCAAAGCCTTTCTCGAAACGCTGAAAGCGCCTTACGTGCTGAAAGCCGACGGACTGGCCGCCGGAAAAGGAGTGCTGATCGTCAATTCGCTCGAAACGGCGAAAGCCGAGCTGGATACGATGCTCAACGGGCGTTTCGGGCACGCCGGCGACACGGTCGTGATCGAAGAGTTCCTGTCGGGAATCGAATGTTCGGTTTTCGTAGCCACCGACGGCAAGAATTTCAGCGTGCTGCCCGTCGCAAAAGATTACAAGCGGATCGGCGTCGGGGACACCGGCCCGAACACCGGCGGCATGGGGGCCGTATCGCCGGTTCCGTTCGCCGACGCAAAATTTATGGACAAGGTCGTATCGACCATCGTCGAACCGACCGTCAAAGGGCTCTCTGCCGATAAGATCGACTACAAAGGATTTATTTTCATCGGATTGATGAACGTGCAAGGCGATCCTTATGTGATCGAATACAACGTCCGCATGGGCGATCCCGAAACCGAAGCGGTGCTGCCGCGCATCGAATCGGACATCGTCGAACTGTTCCAGGGCATCGCTTACGGCGGACTCGACCAATACGAACTGAAAATCACCCCGGCGACCGCCGCCACAGTGGTCTGCGTATCCGGCGGCTACCCGGGCGACTATGCCAAAGGCATGGAAATCAAAGGACTCGGCAACACGGCAGACAGCGTCGTCTTCCATGCGGGAACCACGGCCAAAGGCGGCAAAACGTTTACGGCAGGCGGGCGCGTGCTGGCCGTCACGTCGTTCGGCGACAACATTACGGACGCCGTCGGCAAATCCTACAAAACGATCGAAGGAATCGGCTACGAAGGGAAATACTACCGCACGGACATCGGAAAAGACCTGCTGTAACGGCAGGGGAAGGCCATGGAGAGATCACCCGCCTGAACCTGAGTTGGACGCTGCTGTTCTTCGGACTGTTCCTGGGGCTTTTTGGGGACGGTCGGAGTTGCTACCGACAGCGGCGGGCGGCGCCGATATGCCGCTGGGATCGTTGCTGAACCGGTTCTCCGCGACATATCCGATTGCGGCGAAAACGCTAGCTGCCGTACTGCTTTTCCTGAACAGCATCCTGTTGCTGCGGATCGTCTCCCGCAACATGATCCTGACCGACCGGAGCTACATGCCGATCATCGTCTACCTGCTCGTCGCTGCCGGTTGCGGTTTCGGTAGCTCGGCGCTCGGCGCCATAACCGTTTCGCTGCTGGCAGTCTGCTCGTTCGATCAGATGTTGGGTTCGTTCCGGAGAGCCGTCCAATACGGAAAGCTATTCAATGCGGCGCTGCTGGCCGGTCTTGCACCCCTGGTCTGGTCGCACGCCGTCGTTTATGCGTTTCTGCTGCCCGTTTCGTTGATCCTGTTCAAAAAAGGCGGCCGCGAATGGATCGTGGCATGGGTCGGCTTTTTGTTGCCGTGGGCGATCTGCTCGTACGTCTACTGGGGAATGGGGTATCCGTTCGGCCACGTAACCGGCCTGCTCGCCGGGAACCTCGGGAACCTGCTTGCCGGCGGAGATTTCCCCGACGTCCTGCGCCATCCGGAACTGCCGGTCTTCTGGGGAATGTGCCTGACGACCGTCGTGCTTTCGCTGATCTCGTTTATCCGGCGCTCGGACACGATCCGCACACGGGCTTATAAATCCTACATCTACTTTCTGTGGATTCTGCTCTTCTCGGCGATACCGTTCGCTTTTCCGGGCCGGTCGGTACAGGATTTCCCGATGATCGCCGCTCCGCTGGCCATCATCATCCCGCCCTATTTCATTCGCTACGGGGCTGGATTCCCGGCCTGATCTACTTCGCGCTGGTCGGCAGCATCGTTTTTTACAACCTCGCTCCGGCATTACTTCCCTGACCGTTTTTTCCGGCGATCCGCAACGGGACATATCACACGCAGCGCCCCGGCCTCGCAGGTAATATGCACCGGGAAGCGCGGCCCGGGCTGTCCGTCGATGTCGGTCGACTCCTCGCTGTACGAATACAACGTCACGTCGTCGCTCTTGAAATACACCACGCCCGGAGGGTAGCTGCCATTGTTGCGCTTGATGAAATGAAAATCGTCCGGATCGTCTCGATCGGGCTGTCCCTTGATAACGATCACGTCGAGCAGGCCGTCGTCCGGCTCGGACAAGTAAGCGAAACGCATCTGCCCGGCGGTGCGTCCGTTGAATACGAAAAAGATCAGCGAAGAACCTTCGTAATTCCCGTGCGCCGACTCGATCGAAATATGCATTTTACGGAAATTCGGCAGTTCGCCCAGCCCGCCGAAATAGTAAGCCAGTTTCCCGAACGTGTTTTTCAGGATCGTCGGCGTTTTCTGCGAAACGTCGGTAAACAGCCCACAACTAAACACGTTGACGAAGTATTCGTCGTTGGCGCGCCCCAGATCCATGGTTCTGATCTCCCCGTTCAGGATCCGGCGACAGGCTTTCGCCAGATCGGACGGCACTCCGAGCACATGGGCGAAATCGTTGGCCGTCCCGGTCGGAAGCACCGCCACCGGAACGTCGAGCCCGCGCCGCTTCATCACGTTCACCACGTAATTGACCGTTCCGTCGCCGCCGGCGATCAGCGCGTGGTGGTAGCTCTGATCGACCCCGTCGAACATGTCGGTCTCCTCGGTATCCCCGAAACAAAGCCGGTACGGCACGACCGTATAACCGTGCCCCTGGTAAATCTCGATGATGTGGTCGAGCCACTCCGAAATCACGGTTTCTCCGGACTTGGGATTATAAATGAATCTGACTTTCTGCATCTTTTTTCACGTTTCTGAACCATAATGATATCGTCATTGCCGGGTCGACGCCTGCCGGGCGATCATCGCCTCCATTCGGGAGTAAGATAGGTCTGATAGTTTCCCCGGTCGTCCGAATAGATCAGGTAAGCGTGCAACTCCGGATGCCCGGCCAGGAACTCCTTGCTTTTTTCGAGGCCGAGGATCATACAAACCGTGCCGTAAGCGTCGGCCAACGTCGCGGTAGGCCCCACGACCGTTACCGACAGCAGGTTGCTGATGATCGGCTCGCCGGTTCGGGCATTGATCGTATGCACGATCTTACGGCCTTTGTCGTCGGTATAGAATTTCCGGTAATTGCCCGAAGTGGCGAGTCCCTGCCCGCTGAGTCCGATCACCGTCTCCAGGTCGGCCCCCGGCAGCACGTTCCCTTCGGCCGGACGGTCGATTCCGACGCGCCAGGGTTTCCCTTCGGCATTCGACCCCCGACAGAAAATCTCTCCCCCCACTTCGACGATATAATCCGTCAGACCGAGGCTGTCGAAATAGGCGGCGATATAGTCCGAAGTCGCTCCTTGCGCAATCGAATTCAGGTCGAGCTGCATCCGCGGATCTTCTTTCCGCAACCGGCCGCCATCGACCGCGATTTTCCGATACCCGACGAATCGCAACAGCGAATCGACGTTCGGCTGCTGCACGACCGAATCGCCTGCAAACCCGTAAGCCGCCGTAAGCGGTTTGACCGTGATGTCGTATGCGCCGTCCGTCTCGCGGCTCAGCCGCTCGGCTTCGGCGATGCAATCCGCAATGAACGCATCCACCGAATCGGTCTCGTTGCGGTTCAGGCGGCTGAGCCGCGAATCGGGATTGAACAGCGACATCGAATTGTCGATCTCACGCAACAGACTGTCCACCTGACCTTTCAAATCTACCGGCCGGTCGCTTTTTATCACGATATGATAAGTTCCCCCCTGTGCGAAACCGTCGATTACGGTTACCCGATTGTCTTTCTTCACTCCGCCGCATGCGGCCACAGCCAGCGCAACAATCCCAAGCAAACCAATTTTAAATTTCATATCAGCGTTTTAACATTCTAACATCGCACAAATTTATTTATTTTCCACAATATACGAATTATTTTTTATTACTTTGCAGGACAAATCAAGGAAGGAAGACGGGGGTGCCGCAGAACCGGCGGCTGAGATCAAACCCAACACCTGATACGGTTAATACCGTCGGAGGGAGTTTTTCCAAAGGATAGCGCATTCGCCGCCTCTCTTTCTGCAAATCGTTTTTCGTATGGAAATATTTCTGAACGGAGTGAAAACCCCGACGCAGGCGTCGACCCTTTCGGAACTGATCGCAGAACAGTCGATCGCTACCGCCGGGCTGGCCGTCGCCATCGGGCTCCGCGTAATCCGCCGCGACGAGTGGGACGCTACGCCGGTCGCCGACCAGGCCGAAATCACGCTGATCCGCGCCACACAGGGAGGATAGAACAATGGTTGCAGATATTTTCCCGGAATCCCCGATCCTGATCACGCTGCCCCGTATTCTGAAAAACGAGGCGGAGACGCTGGCCGCACTGTGCGGCGCAGGAGTTTCCGTCATCCATATCCGCAAGCCGGAGGCGTCCGAACCGGAAATCGAAGAGTTGCTGAAACGTTGCAGGCCCTCGGCGCGGACATGTCGCGGCTGACGATTCACTACAACGAACCGCTGGCCCGCAAATACGGGCTCGGAGGCGTGCACCTGCGCATCGAAGAACTGCTTGCCGGAGCCGGCGAAGGGCTGCGGCGGAGCTGTTCGGCGCACGGCTGGACGGAAGCGGAACGCGCGGCGACAGACGCGGACTACGTATTTCTGAGCCCGCTGTTCGATTCGATCTCGAAGCCGGGCTACCGCAGCGCGATCGACCCGGCGGAAGCCGCCGAACGGTTACGGCGCCGCAAAGGGAGGATCGTCGCGCTCGGCGGGATCCGTCCGGCGAACATCGCACGGGTAAGGCGGATCGGATTCGACGGGGCCGCCGTACTCGGGGCCGCATGGAGCGCGGACGAAAAGGCTGTCAATACCGAACGCACCCTGAAAATTACCATATCCTAAACCGCAAATGGAAAGCGGCCGGAGGAACGCTACAACTGATCTCGGACGGCGACCTCTCCGTCGCGCGCAATTCCTCGACGCGGGCGGACGCTGGATCCAACTGCGGATGAAAGACGCCTCCGCAGAGGTTATCGTCTGCGGGGCAAAGAGATGCTCGCCCTGTGCCGGAAACGCCGGGCCGTGCTCGTCGTCAACGATGCGCCGCAACTGGCGGTCGCGATCGGCGCCGACGGCGTGCACCTCGGTCAAGCCGATATGCCGCCCATCGAAGCGAGGCGGATTATCGGCGACGGAGCGGTTATCGGTTCGACGGCCAACACCTTCGAACAGATCGCAGCGCGCAACGACGGCGAAACCGACTACGTCGGACTGGGACCCTTCCGTTTCACGACAACCAAGAAAAACCTGTCGCCGGTGCTCGGCACGGAGGGTTACCGCACGATCCTCGGACGTATGCGGACGGAAAATATCCCCTGCCGGTCGTGGCGATCGGCGGCATCGAACTGCCGGATATACCGCAGATCATGCGGACGGGGGTCGACGGGATCGCCCTCAGCGGAGCGATCGCCCGCGCGGACTCGCCCGCCACGACGACGCGAATTTTCTGAACGCAATCCGGAACGCATGAACCGCAGGCCGGGCCGACAGATAACAAAACAATACGTTATTATAAAACAATGGAAAATTAATTATCGGAAACAAAACGTTTCACTCGCGGCTCTTCGTCGGAACCGGGAGTTTCATCCGCGGAACTGATGGGCAAAGCCACCGCCGCCAGCGGCAGCGAACTGGTAACCGTCGCGCTGAAACGAGTAGAACTCGAAAACCCGCAGGACGACATGCTCAGTCACCTGCACCTGCCGGGAGTCAACCTGCTGCCGAACACATCGGGGTACGCAATGCCAAAGAAGCGGTTTTCGCCGCGCAGATGGCGCGCGAAGCGCTCGGGACGAACTGGATCAAACTCGAAATCCATCCCGATCCTCGCTACCTGCTGCCCGACCCGATCGAAA